TCTAATACAATCACAGATTTCTTGGGTGTTCCCCTAGGAAACTCTTTCTATCTTGAGTCGACGTCAACCACAGAGATTCTTCAAATAATCTCGAATCTGAAAAAGGGTAAAGCAGTTGGTCCTGATGGTATTCCATCTCACTTCTTAAAAATAGTCGCAGACATCATATCCCCAGCGCTAAGCCATTTTTTCAACTCTTCATTTAGATTAGGTATTTTTCCCTCCTCACTTAAGATAGCTAGAGTGATCCCTATATTTAAAAATGGCAAAAGAAATGATCCATCTAATTACCGACCAATTTCCATTCTACCAGCAATCGGCATTATTCTAGAAAAATTATTGTATAAGAGAATGATTAATTTTTGTTCAAAATTTAACTTGATCGACAAGTGCCAATTTGGATTTCAGACCAAACACTCTACCAACCATGCTATTCTAGATTTAATTTCGTCCATTTATGACAAACTTGACAAGGGAGAATTTGTTTGTTGTACTTTTCTAGATTTAAAAAAAGCCTTTGATACTGTCGATCATCATAATCTTTCTCATAAACTAAGACATTATGGCTTTCGAGGTGTTTTAGGCAACTTATTAACTGATTACCTGTCTTGTCGGTACCAATATGTAGAGGTCAATTCTCATAAATCTCCAATGTTGCCCATCCAGTATGGAATTCCACAGGGTAGTGTATTAGGACCTCTTGGTTTCTTACTTTTTATAAACGATTTATCGAACAGCTCTAATTTCCTGACAAAATTGTTTGCCGATGATGCCTGCCTTCTCGATAGTGCGAAGGATTTGATCACACTCCAAGCCAAAGTGAACACTGGAATTAATAAAGTATATGAGTGGATGATATGCAATAAACTCACTGTAAATGTGGAAAAATCCAAAGTCATGTTATTCAGCCCTAAAAGCCGGACTAGAAATTCAAGTCTTTCAATTAAAATTAATGGTATTCCACTAGAAATCGTCCATTCTTATAGATATCTTGGGCTTCATATTGACCATCAACTCAAATGGAACAGCCACATCACTGAAATGTACAACAAACTCTCCAGATCAGTAGGGATTCTGGGAAAACTCAAGTATTATGTGCCGAGCCTAACTCTGCGGACTATTTACTTTGCTCTTTTTCAATCACATATCCAATACGCCTTAGCTGCATGGGGCTCCGCTACTCAAACTAGCTTGCGTAAATTAGAGATTTTACAAAATAGGGCTGTTAAAATTCTCTCCAAAGCACCAGTTCGTTCAAACATAAACACCCTATATCATAAAGCCAGGGTGCTAAAATTGTCTGACATCTATAAATTAGAAATTTCTAAGATTATGCACCAGTTCCACAACAACCAATTGCCTGCAGCTTTCGCTGATTATTTCACTGTCCTCAGTAATGTGCATGAGCATAACACACGCTCTTCGACAAAATCGAATTTTTTTGTTCCCAGATTTTCGCTAAGCAAGTCCCAAAACTCCTTGAAGTATGAGGGTGTTGTAATTTGGAATAGTATTCCCCAAATCTTACGTGACTCTTCTTATGAAACTTTCAAAACAAAATATAAAAAATTCTTGCTGTCACCTTACCAGTCTGCTGTGATTGCATCCAAATGATGTGGCCTCAGCACTCTTTCCCGCTTGCTCCGCTAGGCCTATACCTGTAATAATAATACTTTTTTTTTTTTTCTCAATTTTTTCATGTCCTCATCTTATTGCATTCTTGCCAGTGATTTGAATTATGTAAAGTGTGCCATGCTAATTGCATGACCTGTATTTGTTCGTAACCTGCACAATATAGTAAACTACTTTTCTTATGTTTGAGATGGTTCATGAAGCTTTGTACGAATTTAACCACATTGAAATTCTAAGCCCATCTGCTCAAGATCTTGGTTAATTAGCATAACATTGTGACTTGTTTTCTCTTGCAGTCAGTAAAGCCTAAATTGTTTATCTGATTGTCATTATACTCTTATATAACATTGTAAAAGTATTACCTGATAAATAATATTTTTTATGTTCTTTTAAACTTTGCTTCATTGGTTCACTCAACTATTAGACTACGGTACTTGACTCTTCTTAGTTTTGCTGTTTCATGTCTTGTAGTCTATCTAGTTTCCCACTGTGAATGTTGATACTAGGTTACATTCGTTTTGAATGACTGTTATGGAATATCTTTCACATTTTGATATTTCATGTCTTCCCTGATTTTATATTTCCTGTAACGTTATGTGAAGCCCTGACTCCAGCTGCCAATCACTAGATCCCATTAACAGGTACGGTACCTCAATTCCTTTCTAGCATAAAGGTATGGTTTATTCGTTGGTGATCCTGTTGTCGCCCTCAGCAAACCATGGGTTCCACTGTAACCAATAACCATGCGCCATCAGAATTTGACATTTATTACCCATTGTTAGCTAATGGGCATCACAATAGTATTGTTGTGATACAATCCACTAACGCCATCTCCATGGCTACCGAATCAGTGGTGTTCGGAGTTGTCTTTTCTTTTGTTGAAGCCTAAGTGACTATTATAGTCACTTTGGTTGAAGCGAGCGATTGCTGGTTACAGCAGATCGTCTCGAGATATTTTATGTATTTTTTTCCTCAATTTATTTAAACTTAGTTCGTTTTTTTGTTTTTTATATTATAGTGTTAGACTTATTTTATAGGTGCCGCTGCTCGATAACCAGTATTGGTTTCTCGCGTCTCCTTCACCCTGAAATATGGCCAATTTATAATTTAATTTATTGCAATTTGTATGTTTGTGCCTATTTTAAGTATGGTGAGAAATAAACTACTGATTACTGATAAACATTTTTGGCATACAAGAGGCAGTTGGGGTCCTCGGCCGCGTTGTATGCAAATAATATGCGCCATTAGCCAGACGTGGTTGAGGTTATTTAAATTCACAGTAACAAATCTCAATTTTTTTTGGTGAAATAAGCTCTCCGCGATGACCAGAGAAATTGAGAAAAAAATTGTTCATTCACACGAACAGTTGCAAAAAAAATTCCATAATATTTCTGCAACCTCCAGGAATAAAGAATTGTCCGGCAAATATTTGAAGTATTCGTGGTAGTACATGACAAGAGACGATCCGTTCTCGTGATATTTTGTAGTAATGTTAATATTTTCTATTTGAAAATTTGTAATGATGAAACACGCGTCACACATGCTATAAATTGTCACATGATAAACTTCCGGGTTAGGGGAATTCCGTTAAATTGCAGCGTGTTCTGGATCTATTTCCAAATGATTGTTATTTTTTTAATAATAACTAGAACGCTGGAGCCATTTGAATATGCATACTGCGATAGCGTTTGCACAAATAATACTGTATAGCGATAAGAATGTCTACATATTGAAGAAAAATATAAAAAGTATGTATCGTCCCAGCCAGCACAAGCAGGCGTATGTTTTATGGATGGTGTTTAGTGTGAGCTTCTCAGCAGCATTTCTTAAACTTTGTCAAGATGCAGCCAATCAAACAATTACAGTAATAAACACCCACCACCCACTTAAACCAAAACAGTTAGGATTTCCTCACGATAAACTACAAAGCAAGCTTGGCGCGAACTTCGCGTCATCGGCAGATCAGGGCATTGGGCTTTAAGATTTGGTTGGAACGTAATGCAGTTCTTTTTGAAAATGCTAACCCCACGGTTAATATTGTTATACCAATAGTCTATGTGTAGAAAATATACAGAAAATTATAGGGTAAACAAACCCTTGGAAAAGCAATTACAAAATTCATGGGACAGTGAGGAGGATTATTTTAAATGTGTAAATAAGAAATTACTGCAGAAGTTTTTTGCATTTGCTAATTTTGTTTTCTCTTTTCTTATTGTTTTATATCTATGTAATTATTAAAATGACTTAATTATTATGAATAATGGTTTCTGCTGGAACAAACTTAGAAACTGGACAAAATTATGAAAACTCAAAATTTAACAACTGGATTAAGAATGTAAAATGGAGTATGAACTTATATTTATTTTGTACAATATTTATCTTATACCAGTATAGCCTACCTTATTAAAATCACTCATTGAGTGGACCAATTAAAAAAACAAGAATCAGAAAATCCTAAAATCTCTTTTGTCAAGAAGAATTGAGACAGCAACCTGGTTTTACAGTTTTGTAAAAGAACTTGACATAATTTGGAACAGCCTGTAACTTATTGTATAAATTTTTGTTTTCTGCTATCTATTTATAAAAAAACTTATAAATGAACTTATATATAATTGTGAAGACTACATCTGGAATCAACAAATTTTTACAAAAATCTTGAATCCACAATCTGGATATTATAATATAATGTATTATTGTTATATTATAATAAATGTCAAAGAGAAACTTGAATATTTTCAGTTTTTTTTAGTCAATATTGTATTTAGTTTCAATCAAATTCCCTCCTATACCTAATTCTATATTTTTTGTGTAGGTGAAAGTCAAAACTAGATATTCTTCAGTTCCTGTGGGTGACTAAATATACTGGGGATAATATAGAATTTATAAAAGACAAAACATTAGACTGCAATATCAGGCTGAGGATATTATAATTTTATAGAATTTAAATCAGGGGTGGGCAAGGCTTTTGGACCAAGGGCTGAAAATTTTGCCCACCTAGACTGGCGGGCCATGTAAGTGTAACGTAAAAAGTTACATTTTATAAACAATATTTACAGTGTTGCAAAAGTAGAAAACAACAAGCCTCGTGCCAAAACTAAATTTAATCGCAATCTCAACATATTCCTTGAGCTAGTTTTCAGCTGAAACATCTAAATTTTAGTTTGGTTGTGGCAGCATCAGGCGGGCAAAATTAAATTACTCAACGAGCCGGATTTGGGCTTGCGGGTTATAGTTTACCAATGTCAGATTTAAATAGTCACAGTGCTTTGTTTGACATCATTCATGTTGGTAGTCTAGTTTTCTTAATTCTTTTGCAGTATGTCTGTATGTGGTTTCTAACAGACTGTTATTCAATCTTTTCAATTTCTAAATAGGCCTACTTATTTAATATAGTTTAGAATTAGGCCCATGATGGCAAGTGCACTTGTATTGTTGCTCGTGGTAGTTTGTTGCAAGTCAGTACAATCTGAATTCGCATTCTCTTGTGATGAAAACATTATAGCAGTTTCACCCCCAGTTGTCAATGAAACTTCTTACGGATATCATATCCGCATTAGCATTGAAGGTAAAAAATTTTTTAATGTAATTTTTGACATTGTATTATTTGTATTATTCTAACTATTGATTCTGTTGGCCTCGTAAAAGTTGTCCTCTGTAAGTCTGTGCATTTTCAAGCAAAATATGGTATGAATGGTTTTGAACCTAATGAAATCCTTAATTTGATAAAATAAGATTTTTAAATGTTTTATATCTCAAACTAATAGTGAAAAGTCATGCAAATATCATAGTTCTTCATACCATAAAACCTGGCTCAATGCCGAAGACAAACCATGTTTACCTTAAAATATAAGTACACCACAATTCCTCAAATTGTTATTTTATTTTTTAGGATTTCGCTATTCCACAAACTAGTCACTAGGACTGGGCATTATCGAATACCTGCTGATTTAGAATCTAATCGAATATTTTTTTTTAAATCACATTTTGAATACTTGGAGGATATGTGATAGTATATAATTATTTTATTGTAATGAATTCTCATAAATTTCTAAAAACATATTATAGATTACGCAGACAGTTCGCATAACGTTCAAACACAATGAGGAACATATTACTTCAATGAAAAAAATTAGCGCATTCAACTCAATTTGGGGGAAAAGAAAAACCGATTCCAATAATTTAATATGCGATTCGAAATGCCCAGCCCGACCAGTCATGTTCATGTATGATTTATTTGTTTAGGTCGAAATGAAACACTTGAAGCATATGAGCTTTCCAACCCAGAGAATGGATCTCTTCTTCTCTACGTTAATTATCCTAATGAAACCAACGTGAATCAGTGGATAACTGAAATGATCAATCATGATTACAAATACAATCAGACGTTTCATGTAATTGGTGACTGGGGTGAGTTTATGTCTAATATTTCAATAAGATTACTTTTACTTTATTTGGAAGAAAGTGTAATACGAGAATATCGGTCAGAGACCAAAGACTTATTGATCGAAAGTTAGGTGATCCCCCAAAAACAAAGGTGATCCCCCTACTTCATAGTGACACCTTGTGTCCCATCACTAATTAATTAATAACTCGCTAATTATACGACACTATTCGCCCAAAATCAATAGGCTTCTGGTCCGAGATATGATGAATGCACATGCAAAATCTGGAGCAGATTCAATCTCGCTTTCGTAAGATATCGCGTGCATCTAACAGACATACAGACAGAAAAATACCTATCAACATACGTACTGATTAAAATCGATAAGTAATAACAACGCTGCCATTTGCACGTTTGAAGAAGATATTTTTACCAGTCAAGCTCCAGTACTTGTCATATTGGCAATACTGGACCACTGACAACCAACCATTTTGTTTATAACTACTGCCTTAACCCAACTGGTAACCATGTGAGTAACAGTGGTGTGCTATTTGGTTATTAAGCTGTCTTATCCGATTTCTTCTTTCTGACTTTAATATGACATTTAATGATATACATCCTATCTTATAAATTTTGACAAAATATTATTGTGTGATATTCCTTGGCAAAAAAACAGTACTGCTTAATATTTGTAAAAATTGTGTCATTATGAAAACTTCTCAAAGCAATTGTTTTGTTTTCGAAACATCATTATATTATAAAAAATGTTGCCAGAAGCCATATTGGTATAAGAAATAATAGTTTGCAGCTAATTTTGCAGTCACTAAATTTGTTTGACTATTCATGTATCTTCAATTTTCTTATGTTCGTTTACTATCCTTTTTTGTCAAAGAACAAGTAAAAGTTATTACATTTGATGTTTATTAGTGAAAGCTGCAAATGTTGGTCTCTTTGAAACATGGAAATTGATATTTTCATTAGCATTTACTAATTTCCTTGAAAAGTTCAATTTTTTTCCAGGTGCCGAAAACACATGTACTGTCTCAGATTTGATGCATAATGAAACTTACAGTATATTTGGTATGGGAATAGAGAATGGGTTCCAGAACCCTGAGTTCTCCTACAAATGGACTGGAGATTATAACTACACCAAAGGAAATGTAAGATTTTTTTTATATGGGGGAAATTATTGTCCCTCATGTCATTTGTCTAGTAACATGTTATTGGTAATGCAGTTATACCAGTAGCCGAATGACTCGAACAACTCGATAGTCAACCAAAAAATTAGAGTTAAAAATGCAGCAGTACTCACTCAAACACCTGAGCTGAGCATGTGGCTGAATGAGATTACATTACCCAAACATAAGTGGAGTGTGCATTTCAGCTGCTTTTCGACCATTCAACAAGCATCAGTTCAAGTCAAATTAATATGTTTAAGAATAAGGGATTTATATAAAACAATTCTCTCAAATTTTAATTTAGGAAACTATAGTGAATGGTATACGGGCAGATGTGTATTCAACTTGTCTATTGTTCAACAACAGTCAAATGAAATATGATGTGGATTTGTATTTCAGTCAAGATGAATGGAATATATGGAGTGGCAAAAACTCTCCTCTTATGGTTGTGCTAAAGGTAAAGTCAGTGTTTTTGTATCCAACATGCAATTTATGAGAATGCACGATCAAGCATTTTACTATTATACACCAAACTATATTCTGTTATAGTACTGATATAATATGCCAGCATAAGATTATTGCAATATTTTATTGGTCATTGTACTTATTATTCAAGATCATGTTTAAAGCAGATTGCGACCTCTCAAATCAAAAACATTTCATGTGTTTTGGTCCATTTACAATGTCAACAAAATCGAAGTTTTTGTAGTCAGGTCTGGATCTGATGTAGTAGTCAGATTTTTTTACACTTACAGCCAGATGAACTAAACATTCCAAAAATTATATTTTTGAACATAGACTTATAGTTAATGTTATAAATTTGGTCCAGTTTAAACAGGAAACTTGTAAATGAACAGCAATTTTATATTTTTACGGTTTTCTGAAATAAAATGAAAAACTTCCTAATCATACTATGATACTTTAATTGCTAAAATGATAGTTATGATTCAATTTGAATATGCCATTTGTTTTGGAATCCCTGCTTAGAAACTTCCATGGTCTTATCATCCCTGCTTTACGTATATTTGTAATGACATTCTATTTCTATAATATGAAATTTTAGGTAAATAGGACAGTTGATGGAGGAAGCACATTCGAATCTGAGAAATATACCTATTCATTCACGTCCTACCATTTTAATGATACTTCTGGGAAACATTCAGCAAGAATGCCTGAGTCTTTAATTTGCCCAGGTACAAGTTTTTTCCATTTTATTCTGAACAGAGAAGTGATAAGTTATAATTCGTCAAGAATTCATAATTTCAAATCCGATTATGACTTTTGACTAGGGCTGTCCAAGCGAACCGAATATTCAAAATTGGATCAAAAATGAAAAAAAAAAATTGAATCGTTTCGCGGCTAAATTGAAATAATTGAATTGATACATTAAAGTAGACATGGTAGAAAAAGTCTTTCAAACACTGTTGCACAGCGTTTTCCACAGAGCAAGTAGTGCCACTTTCTGAGTAAACGACTCTTGCCCCTCACATAACTGGTACCGGTATCTCAATATTTCGGAGGGGTAGCTATAAAATGGCTATGTCCGCTATGTCCCTACTAAAATGGCGATGTCCGGCATGCTCGTACTAACTAAAATGGCTATGTCCGCTGTGTCCCCACTAAAATCTAGATCCCGATATGTTACTACTAAAATGGCTATGTCCCTGCTAAAATGGCTATGCGCTTTTCTAAAATTACAATCCCGATAGTTTCCTACTAAAATGGCCTTATCCCTTCTGAATTTCGATTGGACATAGCCATTTTAGTAGGGACATAGCCATTTTAGTAGGAAAATATTGGGATTGAAATTTTAGAAGGGACCTAGCCATTTTAGTGGGAACAAAGCGGACATAGCCATTTTAGTAGGGACATATCGGGATTGTGATTTTAATACGGACATAGCCATTTTAGTAGAGACATAGCAGACATGAGCATTTCAGTAGGAAAATATCGAGATCACAATTTTAGAAGAGGCATAGACATTTTAGTAGGGACATAGCAATTTTAGTATGGACATATATAGCCATTTTAGTAGGAACAAAGCGGACATAGCCATTTCAGTAGGAACAGAGCGTACATTAGCCATTTTAGTAGGAAAATGCCAGGCAGCGCTATTTTAGTAGGGACATAGTGGACATCGGCATTTTAGTAGGGACATAGTGGGACATAACTACCCGTTATACTATATAACTATCTCAATATTTTGGAGGCTTTCATTTTGTGTGGAAAACAAGATGTCGCAACATCTTATTAATTTCCGGTGGCATCTTAGTAGCCTTTACAAGTTATTATATGTAATAAACATTCAAAATGACATTTTGAAGAATACTAAGACAAAAATGGCAATTTAGTGTCGTTAGGAAATGATAGTCCTATAAAGAAAGAGTATTGGTTGAAACTGTTGGGTTAGTAATGATAAGAACATGGTATAAATTCTTCTACTCAATTGCCGAAACATCCAGTATGTTGTATCAAGGACTTGTATTGATTCAAGAAAAAATTCGATTCAATTCAATTTAAAAAATATTCAAATTTGGATTGCCATGCTCTTGACTTTGTGATGTTTAAAAGTACAACTCAAATATTGGATAACATGCCAAACTATGACATCACAGCCTTGTTTATAACAGGGTGAAAATTATGATGTAGTATGCAGATTTCCTATTTTGTTGCTAGGAATATTAGATGGTTGCTATACTTGCTAAGCATATAAATTATCAAATTTTTTTTCAAGGCCGAAAAGACACCATTGATTTTCCGTATGTGGGGTACAATTATGCAGTATCTCAGGAGATTATAAATAAAGAAAAAAAGAGCATTTTATCGTGGAGACAACATTATAACTACGATGAAAAATTATATAGAGTTGATTTTCTTGCACCTCGGAATTTTTCTAGACCTCATGCTCCAAAACTGTTTCACCATCGTTACACTGTGTATGTATATTATGATTTCTAAAAACTTGGATTTCAGTTTTTTTTTTGTTTTTGTTGTTAAACATTGATTTTTCGGAATGAGTTGAAACTGGGAATTTTTTCAACTCCCAAGTCTGAGCCAAGATTTTTTTAACTGTTTAATTACTGTTTGTAATTTTCAATATTATATCATTTGGTATTTATTATCATTACTACAGTATGTACTCGTCTATAGGTCGCAACTTTTTCCCTTATATTTAAAAAAAGATAGGTGCGACCTGTCTGCTCGACATAGCCTCGTGCACGCACATACCAATGCGAGACAGTTTCATGAGCGCACACACACATGCGACCGCTCAGCGTTGCATAAGTCATGCACCAGTATTTACCGCTTACGCAAACAAACCACTTTGTCTTATGCAGTGTAAAACGAATGGCTATTTCTCTCGTTTTCTCGCCGCGACGACCCCAATATGAGAGAGATCGCTGACGTTAGTAAGTTCTTTATCGTCGGCGCCGATGCCATTTCGGCAAGCTCTATGACGTGATTGTGATGCCGTAACGCTTCCGTACATGCACTTATTATCGCTCATAGGATTCATTAGCATATTTTGATTATATTAAGCCCTACAAAAAGAAAATAGGAAGGTATCTATGCAAAAAAGCTAGGGAAAAAGGGCCTTTTAAATCCCTAGATTTTCAGAGCGACTTATGTGCGAGTCAACTCTAAATTGAAGTTTTTTAAAAAAAAACTAATAGTGCGACCTATACGGTGACGTGATCTATAGGCGAGCATATACGGCTGTTTTTTTTTATTGGACACCTCAGTGTACATATTGATCGTTTCAATATTATGTTGTTGTTATTATTCTTCTCTTTCGTCATTATGAAGACGCTTTTCTCTTCGAATACTGGACCAATTGCTTTGAAATTTTCAGTGGTTGAAGATTGATTTTTTGCCAGAAGTCTATTATATTTACTTATTTCGAACATTTCTGTGGACTTCAAGAGATTCGTTTTTTATGTGTCAGAATAAAAAATAGCAACACCTTGTGACGTGTCCATATATTTGAGCACAGCTCTGTTGTTTTAAGATAGTATGTCAAGATGTGAATAAGTTTAAAACCATTTTTTTCTTTCTTCATTTTAAGACATATTTCAGTTATTCAAAATATTTTAACACTATAATATAGGCCTAGTATTCTATTATTGCTATTTATTAAATAGAAAAAGTCTTATATATTTTTGAAGAATTCGGCTTATTATTAAACACTTGAATTGTGATTATATTCATATTTTTGTTCCAACATAGATTTGGTCGACAGCCTATTTTTTAGCTTGAGATTTTAATAATTGGTCTCGAACAAACTAGTCACTTTAAAACACTCTTTGTAGAATGATTTAGTTATTCATTCAATCAAATGGTGAGATATAGACATAGTAAATATTAAACTACAACTTATATACAAAAACATCGTTCTTGTTCCTGTAATTATGAATCCTCATTTCATCTATGAAACTGGTTCGCTATGGCCTCGATTTTTCCCTTGGTTTCTATTTTTAGTATGATCAATATGTCGTTTTTGTGTTTACATGATAGCACACTTCCTGTTGGTAAAAACTTTAGTGGTACAATGGATGGCTTAAAATCATCCTATTGTAATATTTTAGATAGTAAATCTCTCGCTTGATTCTCAATCAGTCTACCTGATAATCTAGAGTGTGAATAATTAAATTGCATATATGTATAACATCCATTACGCAAAACTTTGCACATTTATTATCATTTTTCATTTAGATTAGAGACTTTTCAAATAGCTTGAAGTCTTTCCTTAAAATCATACACTTCATTGGCAATGCACAACTTGTGTAACTGCCCTGAAAATCATACACCCTTGCCATGATAGCCGGTCCTCTGTGGAGGAGGCCATTCAGATAGGGATTGAGAATATTATCATACAACCCTCACGACCGCTTCATACTTATGCTCGATATATCAGCAGACTCAGTGCCCTAGACTTACCGCACTGGTATCGGTGAGCGATCTTCATGCTCATTATTCGAAACTTGCTCTCATCTTATTTGTATGTTACAATTTTTTGGTATTATTGCAGCATTCATGATTTTGAATCTGGCATTGAATATCTGATGGATAGAGAAGTGGGAAATTGTTCAGTCGGACCTATCACAAACTCAACAATGTGGAGTCATTTTGATGTGGAAGCTGATCCCACCCATCCTGGATTTGTGAGTTTCTTTTTCATAAATTGTACATAATTTCTGGCTGCTTTAAAATATTAGATTGTCCTTTGTCCCAGTCAAAAATTTTTTTTTAAAATTTGGTCCAATTTGTATTATTTTTACCATTGTAACAGTTTAATGGTATCAGACGGGTTATCAACCTTTAGTTTATATCATTCTATCCATAATAATTTCAAATTCCACAAATTTTTTAAAATTTCGATTTCTACAAATAACCATACAAGGGCTATTGAAAAAGTAATTTCAATGTAGAATTATTTTTTATTTTCATTTGAAAATATTGCGAAGATATGGGTTGCGTTTTATTTAAGCTGCTATTTATTCATAGTTTGTAGCAATATTTACCAAAGTTGAGGTTTCAAGGCAGGAGGTACAATGTTGATATTTCGTTTTTTTTAGAAATTATAATTTGAAAATATTGCAAAGATATGGGTGCGTTTTGGGCTGCTGTTTATTCATAGTGTGTAGCAATATTCGGATAAAAATCTACAAAAGTTCGAGAATCAATGATAGGTTTTTCCATATTTTCACAAAGCAGCTTCTATGAGATCCACCTTTTTGGGCCATGCAATAAATAGCCTGTTGGGGTATTTAAAAAAATATATCAGGTCTTAAAATGAAATTGATTTTGATGATAGACCCATAATTTTCACCAATTATAATGTGTATACTTTATACCCTATTTAGTTCAGGATGAGAAACATAATTGCCTTTCTTAACAAGTTGAACATGACATACACGGGTCGACACAGCTCGTTCCATACTGGTATAACGTATGATTCATGGACCTCTGCCGTACCCTATAAGGTAAGTTTATTTTTATTTGTGCGAAAAAGAAGTTTATTTCAAACATTATGACTGCAGCTGAATAAATGATGAATTATTAAAAATAAAATACTTTGGTAACTTTGCAAAATATTATTACATACTTGTTTCGACCAACAATAACTATTTAAATGTGTACATAATAAAGATGGAAATATACAAAATTCGACAGGGCGCTAGTGTTTGAGCACCTAATTCCTGTCGATTACCGCACCATTTTTAACTAGAATTTTTTGGTAAGTATCGAGTTGTTCAAATACCGAGGTATCGCTGTACTTTAATAAGCTGTGTTTTTTTTAACAAAGAATATACAAAGATAAATTCAAATATTCCTATTTTGGCGATGAATGACAAAAGTGAACAAAGACAATAGGAATTAAAAAAAGAATTCCTTAATCCACTATATATTTTATGTAAACTTTAGTCCATTATCCAACAACTAAACCAACTATTCAAATTCTAGTTGACAAGAGTGAAAATGACACGGTTACATAGATAGATTCAGAATTATTTATTTTGATTTTCTCAACTTTTAATTTTAGGAATAATTCAGAAATTTTTCATTCAAAAATTCTCATTTCGATTGGTTGAAATCTCTACAAGGGCTGGGTATATGTGAACAGTTAATTGATTAACTATACTTAAGATTGTCATGCAACAACTGCCATTGACAATGTTTATCAACCAGTTGTCCAGATGTCCTAGAATAGAACTTTGATCTAAAGCTGCCATGGGCAAACTGTGGCACGTGGACCAAATCCGGCCACTTCAATGGCTGTCATGACCTTATCGAAAACTTAGGCGTAAAAAGCGCAGTTTACCATTTGGGTTTACCAGTTTACTCAGTTTACCAAGTAATTAACTACAGGGGACAAAACTTTTGCCCCTGGCTGCAGACTGGCTGGTCGTGTAAGTGTGACGTAAAAAGTTACATTTTTTGAATAATATTTACAGTGTTACAAATGCAAAAGTGGACTACAATAGGCCTCGTGCCAAAATTAAATTACCGTAAATCGCAATTCAAACAAATAATCCAATGTCAATTGAATGGCGTTTAGGATATTGTCAAATGGCCCGCCAGTCTAGGTGGGCAAAATTGTTGGCCCCTGATCTAAGACCTTGCCCACCCCTGATCTAAAGTAACAACATTGTTTTTTATACAGACAGAGGGTTCATGGGGCTCACTTGAATTAAAAGAAACATATAAGTTCACGACTGTGGATTGGACTAACGGTGATTTAACACCTGTACCTATTGGAGTCAAAGTATCAATGAAAATTAAGGTAACTATCACCCTTATATATTTATATTTTACAATCAGAGGTTGTTCTCAAAATTTACCTAACCTTTGACCCTGAAAACTTGATCATTGCGAAATTTTTTGTTCTTTTTTAAAGAGTTGGCTCTTGCAACAGATTTAATTCTTCATATCCATCTTAATTCAAAATATATACTGGTAAGCACTTGCCATTGCCAAGCTTCAATTTTTCATTAGAAGGCAATGATTTTAAATTATTTCTTCCAATATTCATTGCTTTTGTTGAATTTTGAATAATTTTTACATGGCATAGTTTATTTGTGAGCTGTGGCTCAACCACTGTCATATGTTTACTGTTTAATAAAGTATCTGCACCTGTGTGTCCATAAATTTGTGCGAAGTCTTTTGCTAAATATTTCTTAACCTTAATTTATATTTACAGAGCAACGGCACAGTCAAGAATAATGATATCATGATTCATATGTCCAATGTCATGAGTATAGGCCATGCACTTCATGCATTTGATATTGGAATGTGTCAGAATTATGACAACAGTAAAACAATTGTCCTCAAATTTTCGGATAATTACGCACAATACCTTTCAGAATATTCTACAGAACTTGATGGTAAGTGTATAGCTTATGTATTTTATTGTGAGTTATGACTGTTGTATTTTTATCACATTTTGCTATTCATTACATAAGAAATATTTACATGTTGGTTCAATAATACGGTACTTAACTTATATATATGAATTTTTTTCACATGAGCACTAAATCAAATGATTAGCTTTGAACCTCAATGTAATTGCCTTTGGGCATGTGTATTTTCGTGATCAAATGCTTCGATAAAAATAGTATAAACATATCACGAATAATTATCAACCAATGAAATTTTTTATTATGTAGACTTTTTTGTATTTTAGTTTATATACACATACTCGACAATGATCTTTTCAGCATCGTTATCATTTTATATAATAAAATTTATTTTTCTGAAATTTAATATCATATCAAATCATAATTTGTGTTATGTGGTTAGTCAATTTTTTGGATGAATATTTAGGTATTTCAATGATAATTTTTTCAAAACATAATATTTTTATTTTTTTTTATAATGTTGTCTTTCAGATTCTCTGCCAATGTTATGTTAAAAAAAATTGGGTTGATTTAATCTCAAAATAACAGCTAAATTTAAAAAAAAATTTGTGATATACTTAATGTCATGTGTTGTTTTAAGTGACTGCTGATTTAGTAACAACAAACAATTTAGCTGAAAAAGAGTTTCCACGCTATAGGCAATAGATCATTGCGTCACTTATTATGCGAGATCAAATACCAGACTGCAATATATCATATCAAAGATTTTGTATTGTGTTGTTTGTGATCATTTATTTTGTGATGCAACCACTCGTCAGCCTTTTTTTTAAATTATTATCTCGAAAACATTTACCTTCTTTTTTCCATACAGATTTTGACAACAATGTCTTGGTCTTATATTTATCTTAATTTGAAACATATGGCATTTAATGTTGCATAAGCTATTCCAGCGTTGTGATGTTTGATGCCCTTATGTCATACAAATTTATAAACATATATACAAAGTTCTTATGTCATACAAATTTATAAACATATATACAAAGTTAGCAGATTCGTGATAACTTATGACAACTTTTGCTCCATGTGAACTCCTCCGTGAATTTCATAAAAGGATAATTTTATGTTATGGATTACATATGTAGCCTTGACTACCTTCAGTAAACATAATTTTAAAAACTATCATTTTTTATTCCAGTTGCTATACAAAAGGCTGTAGCTAATGCAGCTAGAGTATCCAAAATCAGAGTGTCATCGTACTCGAGCAAGGAAATTGGACCTGATCAGTCATCTGGCAAAGACGGTGCAGATTGGAGAGTGTTTATAACAGTAACTCTTTATGATCAACCAAATTTTCATGGTAATTGATAAATTTTTTAAAGAATTAATTTGTTTAAGGCAAGATCAGGCACTCAGGAGTGATGGAGACTATCTCTGATTGCAGGTCGCTTGAAAAAAAAAATGAAGCAAGATGTCAGGGCATCTGGTAATGCACATTTCTCAAACAAAATTTTTCTAAATTCAAATTAAGTTTTTAGAAAAATGGAAACATGGCCACATGACTGTGGAACCCAAGTACAATTCTAATTGACTATGATAACAGACTTGAGTCGTTTAAACCCTATGCGCCGACAAAAAGTAGGCTGGGATTGAAAACTTGAACGTTTTCATAGTTTTTTGACTTTCAAATTCTTTCTACTATTAAAATTATTAATTCATACTCCCAATGAGTTTTAATCATTTGACTCTCCAATGATAGTATCATTCTCAACTATGAAATTTCAAAAACACGGCAACTATGTTGTCACAATCATAACGAAGTTTCCCCGACACCACTAATTTAAAATTCAAAGTGGTAATATTTTGATTTCAGGTAATACATCTGAATACTCTCCCAGTATCAATCTGACTGAAGCTGTTAGCAAACTGAAAAAAGCAGTCTCGAACAACATTCTAAGCATCAAATTTAAAATATTCTCTGTGAGTATACATGCTGGATTTGTAAGAATTGAATCTTCTAAGGGTGCGACTGAGTTTTAGTCAGAATGGGATATTGTGATTTGTGTATAATTAGTTGGTGCATTGACTGAACTATGTGTTACCTGGCACATAAATCAGTACTCCCGTAGTGTGTGTACCAGGCTAGGGTTAGGTGATCATTTTATTCATAATTCCCTTATTTTAGTTCTGTTGTGAGTTTGGAGATTGTCTGTGTTAGCCAGATGTATATATACCCCCTGCCCATAGGCTTCAGTCCCTTTACACAACTTGATGTAAAGTAAGCGAACAAAATCAGTTACCTCCGAATTGGTACACACACTTCTGGAACGCCCATAAATCTATTGGATATTCAAAATAATATTCGAAGCTTGAGTTCGGCGGTGTGCCGCATCGTGCTAAGCGTTAGGGAATACAGTCGCCACCGTATTCTGATTTACCTGCATGATTCGAAGGTTTGAATCCAGTGGGGGAGAATTATTAGCAAGAGAATTGCTGGGCTCCTTACCGCCACAGGGTGGTTCGTGTAATCACTGATCGGTTACAGCTTCCACCACCATCAAGTCTATGTATCTTAAACAAATAACTGGCTAACTAATCTCTTACCCTACATGGACTGGTAATTGGACGAGAGGCCGTGGATCAGCATGATCAAGCCATCATATTGGCTTTCCTATTTTATTTAAAAAAAGTTAACTTAGCATCTTTGAAGGGAAGGCTTGTGTGATTTGGTATATCTGTCATAAGATGAATTGATAATGTATGAAATATGATTGATAAAAGCTAAGATATTGTGAAAAAATAATCTGATTTATGTTTGCCAAAAGTTGTACGCGACCTTTTTATTGTAATGGGTGTTTGAGACTTATCAATTACTGAAAACATAAAATCCATCAATCTGACAGTTAGCTGAATTGTCTCAAACCATAAGAAATGTTTTTCGTCAATACCTCACTAGTCACTAGGAAGAAAAAAATCATGTCAGAATTGCATTTTAAAAATATTGCTTCAAGAAAAAAAATTGAACGATTCATCTCCACCTCTAGCGAACAAAAATAAAAAAAGATTTGACAAGACGATTTTCTTCTGAGCCGATCCTAATAATTTACTATTCAATTCGAAATGCCCAGTCCTAATTATCAATATGGACTGGACCTCGATGCAGGGATTGATGTCTTGCACCCAGTCTGAAAATGTGAATATCCTGGTTTGTTCCTTGTTATACATCCAGATTCTGTCTGGTTTATGACAGTTTGAATCAAGGAAAATTTACCATTAGTCCCGATTGGAAAATATTTTGGCTTCGAGGTCGGTCTATCAAAAATTTCGACTTCGACTCAGTAGTAAATTCGTGAAAAACTCTTTCTTTTGTAACGATATAATGTCTGAAAGCCTGAGTCCAGAGAAATTAAAATTTTGACTTCGATGGGTTTGAGGGTAAAAACATGCTTCGCCTCTTGGCCCCACCTCCACACCCCATGTCTGGTTATTATCACTGAATTTACAGGCATAATGCTGTTATTTTTGAATAGATATCGGCTTTAACTTTTGTTTCAGCAATAATATGCACTCATTGCTTAGCTAAGTTGTTATTAATATTCAAATGTTAAAATGAGTAATCCAAATTTTCAGGGAGAGACCATCACTATGACTGCTTACCCCGACTATTTTATGGAACGTAGTGAATTATACTCACCACCACCAAGCTCTGTAACAGCTGGTCTTTCAAATGGGGCTATTGCAGCCATATGTATCGCTATGACACTTGTTGGATTTATCGCTGGAGCTCTTGTCTGCTTCTTCAAAAACAAACGTAGTAACAGGCAGTTTGGATATGGAATACAGGACTAATCACAGTTGCAAGATGGATACTTTCCAACCAACTTAAACTTGAGACAAGTGTATAATTTCTCTTTAAGCTTGGATTGAATTTTTGCTATATTGTGACTCTATCATCTGCATGACAACTAAATACCTGTTATTTTACCATATATTTTCATCCTGAACAGATTCCTTACTATTTTACCTTAATCTCCAAATATTAAGTAGCTCTGTCAATGCCGGAGAGTACTAAAAACAAACTAAAATATACCAATTGTTGTTTAAATACTCTTCTGTCCTGAAAAATTCTTGAGCAGCACGAACTCATTTAATTGAAAGCATTATTATCTTTGTCATCAATAAATACAATAAACTTTGATTATTAACCAGAAAAACATTAGTTTTGTTGCAATGTTGCTTTTTTCTCAGATAATATTATACCAAATTTTAATGTTTGAACTATGCTTACTTTGTGTTGGTGAAACTATGCCTAATTGTATATTACATGTATCTGTTTGTCACAGCATTTTTTTCTTGCTCCTGCAGTTGAAATGATCGTTTTGTGCAATAGTGAGATAATAACAAAAAATTGCTTTGGATAATGATTTATACTGTCACAGAATATTGCAAATATTATGAAACTTTTTTGTAGCACTACAAAGGCATTGGAACACTGTTGACATTATTATCGTGGTTAGTTCCTTTGCCAATAATCTTGCCTTTTAAATGTAACTTTTATATAGGTTCCAACCAAAATGCTTGTCTGTGATCCACCACAAAAACATTGAATTCCGTGAACTACTTTGTAATTCTTTATACTTTTCTATAATCCTTATTCTTACAAATGTGTCTTATTTAATATCAGGGATGTCCAAAAGGAATTCATTATATTCGATATAGTAAATATTTGAATTCAGGAATAATTTAATCAAAAATAACATTTTTATTTAAAGATCGGGATTTTAAGCTGCCAGACAAGTAGATCAAAACATACTATATCTCAACTGGTAGGAAACAACACAGTGGAAAAACAATGACCTTTTATATTTATGTTGTTTTAGATGATCAACATGAAAAATATAGTGATTGATGTCATTTTTATTATGAATTGGCCCCCAATTTAGAATGTATTCAATACTCCATATTGAAAATATTTTCTCAGAATGTATTCGAAATAGTGAAATATTCAGTTTTAGACATCCCTGTCAAGTATACTATAAAACCCATTGTTGCATGTATTGAATCATGAATATTTTACCGTAACTTTGTAAACTTAAAATAAACAAAACTGGTTGTATTTGCCAATAAAATGAAAAATTATTTAACAATTTTTTATAATGTATGTCACACATCTTGTCTCTTATTTTTAAAATCATTTTAAATGATAATATCCAATAATTTACTCATTGATACACACAACTTGTTGTAATTGGACCATCATTCGCCTTGAGTTTCTTTGTATGTTTATAAATAGTGTCTGAACTTTGTTGTTCCATCAGTTTCTTTGTATATTGCCTGTGTATTCTTTAAACAATTATGTATGAAATAAAATAAATTTTTGGTGGCAAAAACTTTGTCATATGCAAGCCTTCTGCAATTGTAGAGATGGGCGTTTCGATTCGAACAGTGAATTGATTCAGAAGAATATTTTGAATTGCCGCCATCTTGTTTTTTCTTCTGTCCACCAACTGTTGAGGTGAGTTTCTTAATTTTTTATTATTAAATAATAATTTTGAAATGCACTTCTGACATTTTTCTTGTGAAGTATTGATGAAGCATGTTTCTTATTGTGTGTAAACGCTCAGCGAGCTGTCTGATTGATGAATTCTATGTGTGCAGACATCAGTCAATTATAGAGGACTCTTTACAGTAAGAAGTCTTTGACTTGACTTGACAAATTGAAATTCCGACCTTAGCTCGGCAGCATTATCAATAAAAACTTACGAGTCTAACTAACAAAGTAGAAATTCATCAAGGAAAAAACAACTTTGATCAGTTCAAAAATTGATATCGGGGAAAGCGGTGAAAAACCAGATATGGATCAACTTTCAATTTCAAATAAGTTCTAAAATAATAAATTTTTGAAGATGAACGTGCAGATGTTCGAGAATAACTTATGTTTAACAGAGAAAATTGACGTTATACAGTAAGTTTAAAAGATTCGTTTGATAGAGTCCAATTCCTCTTCGCTTAACACATAGGTCACTAGAAATTAGCAGTCTCGTATTATACACATACCGGTAACCTATTTTGTCTCTTACAGATGTGTTTCAGACAGAATAGGATTTTTACATTTATCCCCGAGGAGAGGAAAGTCAATAAGATGGCTTACATATCATCTGGCAAACCACGGCCACTCGTCCGATTACCAGTAATCAGTCAGAACAATGACATTGAACATGTTTAATGTCATTGGTAAGATGTAGGATTAGCTAGCCAGTATGTCCACCCCGCCTTTTAATTTTATTTTATATTGTACTATCTTGTGCTTTCAAATGAATTTGAGAGCTCAGTCAAAAGTTCAAACTCGAGCATAAAAATATCACCAGGGCCTCTTATAATTTGAAAGCATTTTGACAATGTGGATAAATAGTCCTGGTATCAGCTCAGTTCCTCAATATGCTTCACCTAAATTAGTGAGCTTAATGGTAAAGTCTCTTGACCTTAATAAAATATTCAATCCATATATTTATTATTTACCGGTCTCTTTTTGCTGGCACGCTACATTGACTGCCTCACCAGTTCCAAACATCAAAAATGAAGAAACTAAATCATGCTCAGATTTATTTAAAAATTCCAATTGTGAAAAGCCATTAACTACAGAGAACGACAATTTGACAAAAAAATAACACATTACAAGACCAACTCTAGTTGATCTATTTACCAATAATTCACGAATAACACACAAGGTTCCATATTTTATGTATGAGAGTATAGTATACAGAAATTATTATTTTATTGAATAATATTATTAATATTACTTATTATTTTTTTTTATTCTACATGCTAAAATAATAAAAATTTAAAAACAATTTGCACAAAAAATACAAAGAATAGTCTATACAGAGCTAGAAAAAAAAAGAAACACACCACAAGATGACAGCTCTGCAAAAGAATGAACAAGCGAACAGAGCCAGTTTGTGAAATGCACCAGGATCTTTGTTTCGGGCTCAATTCACTAAGCTGAACGTTGACAGTTGACCATCCAAAAATCTCCACCAAAGTTTCAAACATGTAAAAAAACAAACCCTGGAATACCATGAACAAACTGGCAGAAAATACAAATCAAATACTCCACCATTGTCAACCTTTCAAAATCTACCCCGACATAAGCATCCATGCACCATCATTACCTTAACCCAAAGCAAATACCATCGTTAATTATAATACCCGCTCAAAAATGAACAACCTTTCAAAACCGGTTACTAATTCCATCCATTCCTTGTCAAAGTTAGACAGGAGAAGTCAAGACTAATTTTGACAATCCAACACAATTGAAAACCAAAACTAATACATAGTTAGTAATATACAGATAATAACAATGGGGATTAGAGCACAAACTGGATATATCATTACGGCTAGTGTGGTTAAAATGATTGCGTATTACAACACAGAGAGACTTGTGCGTTTCACATTTAACCTGTGTCGCTTTGCAGTGAATAATTACCTTATGATGCTTATCAAAAATTATCATTGGAATAAATAATAAAGCTACAATATAACTATAGGAACTTTGAGGATGGCATGTATTTCAAATAAAGTGTGATAACAAATTGGCAGGGAATATATTAAATCTTCATATGGTATGTTTTTGCCATTAAATATCTGTTAAAAAAATTCCAAAATTTCATGTTTTAAATTTTTTACCCAAGATTACTCTGTATTTAATAAGAAATCAATTTTGTTGAAAAATATTGAATATTAAACCAAAATTTTGTTTCGAGTTTCAGTGTCGGTAATTGCTGCGAAAAGGGGATGAGATAATTGTCAGGTATTACGACATAGCAATCACTTCAACTTTTTGGGTTAAAATACTTTCCAACAATGGTATATATAAAACCATGTTTTGCTCTTGTCCAAGACTAGGATTTTGGGTAGGCATGAAGCCGAAGTTAACTTCAACCCCAATCTACAAAGCACACTATTCTAGACGCCATTTTTCTCGGTGGCTATACCGCTCTTTTTACCCTTTCAGTAATTACCAAGAACCTAATCTTCTTCTAGGGAAGGAACTAAGGGAAGGGATTCAAATTTGAACTTCTGAGTACCGTGGAACTTTATTTCTTTTTCAAATCTGTGAAATTTGCTTCCTATTAATAATCTATAAAAAACTTTATATTTATTTAAACCTATAATATTTTTATATGAAGAGTTACTACAGGGTAGCTTACTAAATAAAAAACAACAAACTTTGAATTCAATTTTGAGTTATGATCGTTTTGAATGAAACTTATTTGAATTTACCTAAATGAACGTACAATCTCGGGTCTTGCTTCAAATTACAATCACCACAGTGAAATCTTAATTTTTACTCTTTCAAATTAATTTGCCAAAATTGAAATTGCTCGAAAATTCTCCGAAAATTGTCTTGTTACTAAATGGCACAAAATTTATTTGGCGGGCAAAAGGAAAACTAAATCAAATATCTCGAAGGCTATGAGAAAAATGAGAGAGTACAAATTGGGAACTTCACACGAATGAAAAGCGAGTGTAACTCGATTTGAAATTTTGGGCTAATTATCAAAGAGCAATTGTCATAAGATAAAATAAACACACATAATATAATGATGTGACAGGCATGTGTTGAGAATATAATATAATCAAACCAATAGAACACAAAAACATATATTGAATATAGAATCTATAGCTAGTAGTAGTGACTTTAAAGCTAAAAGATATGAAACACAAAAGCGATATTTGTTGATGAAGACTGACTGGTAAAAATTTTGTTTCCGAATTCAAAAATTAAAAATTAAAATGCTGTTTCAGTTTGGCATTGAAGGGCAGTTGTCAAACAAATAATTTTTCTGAGGGGGGGGGGTAAATCCTGCCAAATTGTCTATCTTATATTAACAATTGTCTAATTTAAATAGTACATAAATACATTTTGTTGAAAAATATTTTTGTAGTTTTTTTTCTATATAAATAAGTTAGGGAATAATAATAATGAACATTTAAGATGGCGAAATAAAAGTCAGCCATCATCTTCCATATTAAAATAAAGTTTTTTCACTCTATATCATCAGCAAATCACAAATAATGAAATGTTGAGTATTTTGGGAACCCAGCATAATACAATACACAATCCTGAAAGTAAATACCAATACCCAAAGAATTCCATATAGTCAATGATGTTTTATCTTGCACAAGTCAACAATAGAGCATGCAAATGATATATATACCCCATGTATGACAGATGTATAGAAAAAACAAATTCTGACCATGCCATAAAGGATGTCTACAGATTCTGAAAATACTTCCAAGCATTTTATCTGATATGTTATTAAGTAGGTGCCAATGTTATAAATCAAATTTAATATAAAATAATTATATGACGCATTATCAGCTGGTATTAAATTTTTAAGGTCAAACAATAACAATCTGTTTACACCAATTCAATTTTTTCCAGTAGACATCCTTAATGACAAAACATTTATTCATACCGAGCATAGCAATATACGAATTGCTATCCCAAATCAAAAAGTACCATATTTACTAGTTATATTTTATTTTTTATATACTATTCCTCTACTAGTACATTCAATAATAATAGAATGAGTAAAGACACCTCTCTACTTCAAAAACTGCCGCTACAGTAAGCCAGAAACTGAAAAGACTTGGTCAGAACAGCCACGATTTTCTACTAGATGTCTACGGTGACGAAAAGATCAACATACGCACATACATTTTTAGTCAAAAATCAGTCAATCAAATTTTCGATGAAGTCAATCTGAAAAAGATAATAGTACAGCATAGATTAGATACATGTCTGGGAGATTAAATATAGTTTTCTGGGATCCTGGAGGTCCTGGAGGTCAGGCGCGGCGGTGTGGCTCAAAGGGCTAAGCGTTAGGAATACGCTCGTCATCGCACCTCTAATTACTCTGCGTGGGTTCGCAGGTTCGAATCTCATGCAGGGATGGTTATGTGCGAGAGGATTGCTGGACTCCTCGCCGTCGTTGGGTGGTTCACGTAACCGCTGGTCGGTTACGGCTTCCTCCACCACCAAGTCCATGCTTCCGAAAACAAACAATACAGTAAAACTAATCCCATACCCGACTTGGAATGGTAACCGGACGAGAGGCCGTGGTTCGCCATATGGATAAGCCGTCTTATCGGCTTTCCTCTCCCCCGGGATAAATATGTAAATCCTATCCTATCCTATCCAAGTCTGAGTTGAAAGTTTAGCCAGCCCATGATCGTTTTATAACCCTTTACTAGACTAGCTATCAATAAATCCCCTTTGCAATTTTAAAAATGCAAGACTTCATGAACACTTATATACCTTACTAAAATACATTTATATATTGTGGGATCTATTTTAAGACAAAAATAACAATCTTTTATTGAGACGAAAAATAACACGCAACCTTTATCATTCAAATAGGACATGTATGCACAGCATCAGTCCTTCTTCTGTCCGCTCTCGTCATCTTCATCGTATTCATATCCTCGTCTTCTCTGGCCAGTGACCTCCAACCCCTCTTCGCCTTCCGATCCATCTCCAGTACCAGACGGTGCATCACCAGCAGAGGGATTTTTCAACTGATCCTCAGCATCAGCAAAAAATCTCGAAAATTCGCTCCAATAACGTTCAGGGACTAATAGAAAAAATTTGAGTTACGATTGATAAGTTTTATCTGATGATTAAGTAGGAAGAGATATTCAGTTAAAACCACCCATTTAGATTATCTAACAATCAGAACATTATTTAAATTAGATAGAAGGTATATTATGGGGTGACTGGCTCGATGTTGATTTAATTCTAGGAGAGTTGCAATCTTGTCAACTGCACACCTGAATATCTAAATAACCAAATTCTAGTGATTATTGCGCTTTCGTGATTTTTCGATAAAAGATTATTGATTTTATATTAAAGTATTAAGAAGAATCATAAGTTATAACCTGTTAGATAATGTTTAGTAGTTTATTATATCTGTGAAAAAATTGTAAAATATAAATATATATTCCTTACTGGTTATTGCTGATCTAAAATACCGTGTCTGCTCAGTAACACGAACATAAACACCTCTCTGATTCTGTCCAATGTCCATAAAAAACTGAAATAGAGTTTTAATAATATAACATTGATTAATGATATTGTAATACTTTGTAAAAAATAACAAAGTACAAAAAATAACAAAATACATTGTATTTCTGTAAGGCTTGACAAACATTATACTATGCAACAGACAGAAAGACAATATATATGAATAAGGTTGAAAATGAGTGTCTGGAAAATTTCCCCCGGAATTTTTCTACTGAAAGAGCCTCTTGAAGATAGTGCTGGACTTGAATTTTGTCTGGGTGAAATACTATATAAAAAGAATTTACAATAATGTAAATCAGGTCAAAGTAGTTGACCATCGACCGAGACTTTACAGAAAATTTCTACTCTGTCTCCTGACTTGTAAAATAATTTTGACAAGTCTCTCAACAGCTCAAAAAAACCAAAAAATCAAATCTCATTAATGTAAACTCCTTTAGGAAATCATTTTCATTTCAGACAAGATTCAGACTTCTTTTAATAACACCAAAAGCCTCAAATCAGAATTTCGACTCCCAACTCCAGAAAGTTTGAAAATATGACTGCAGCTCCGACTATAGTGAAAACATGCAAACTCTGACTCCATTACCTGGCTGAAACTCTCAAAAATATGAATTGGTATGTAGAAAAACATACGACAGAGCGAATTCTTATTTAAAAGCCTATTGGAATACAATATAGGGTACATTTCTAATCCTAAGCAAATTTAATTACTGCTGCCTTTTAATAAGAACCATCATAATAATAGGTAATAATAGGACAAACATGTTCAGAAGAAAACTGAATTAGACTGATTTGAAGATTAAATCTAAGACACATTCTTTTTTCAATAATTCTGCATAATAGTTGTCGACTGAATTAAATGTGAAAACTTAGACATCTTATGTTTGTGTCGGTTTAGATGCTATCAACATGCAGACATGATGGTTGACGTAATTTTTCACACAAACTTGCCCTCAATTCAGAATGTATTCGAAACCCAATATTCAAAAATATTTTGAGGGTATTCGAAATAGTGGAATATTCAGTTTTTGCTATCCCTGATATCAGTTCAATAAGTACTTGTCAAACAAAGATGAATGCCACACAATAAAAAAAATAAGTCTTATGTTTTTACTAATGGTGGTGACTTTATATAAATGGATATTACTTGTTTTATTGCCAATTGATGGCTGAAAAGCGATATCAGTATAATACAGTAATGAATATTTTATACGCACCTCAGTGCCAGAGGTATCAATAGTAAAATTTGAAAATGCTGTTCAATGGTACAAATTAAAATGACGGACGTTTGCATAAATCTAAGTAATAAGAACTGAGTGAACTAAGTTTAAGCTAAATACTGTAATAGAAAAATTTCATTTTTTAAATGTAAAAATGAACTGTGAAAAACATTGAACATTGAACTGTGAGGAAACTAGTTATCATATATGTAGAGGTGGATGGCAGGTATAAGAGAGGATACATCGATTTTTTAATTATTCACCAAATATATTTGAGGTAAAGATCCCTTTTTACCATAAATATGATGGAACTTTGCCTTAAATTAGATTTTAGGTTTCTGGGTCGGTTGGACTTCTAATAGGTACAACAAAAAATAATAACCTTTGAACCCAGAGCAGGGATGTTTAGAATGAATTGAATACATTCAAAAAACTCAATATAGTAAATATAATTTAGAACATTTATATTGAAAAATTGGGGATTTTACGCTGTCAGACAGGTAGAACAAAACATACGATATCTTAATTGGTAAGAAACAACAGAGAAAACAATGAACTTTTATATTTGTGTCGTCTTAGATATGATCAACATGAAGACATAGTGATTTAGGTAATTTTCCACAAGAACGAGCCCCCAATTTAGAATGTATTCAATATTTAATATTTGAAAATTTTTTCTCAGAATGTATTCAAAATAGTGAAAATTGTGAAATATTCGGTTATGGCCATCCCTAACCCAGACTGACTATTCACTAATTCAGCATCAGATAGGTATAGCATCCACATATTTACCAAATGATTTAACACCGATTCATAAAATTCAACAACCTCCGTTAGAAGTAGGGAAAGATATCTGGTCCCTATAACGTCTTCTTTATACAATATTACTAAATTATTTCACTTGAATTCAATACTCTGAAAACATTTAACTAACTTGTTTGGATCTGCGATCACCAATCATAGTACTGCTTGGCAGTGGAGCAACGTCTGCCTCTTCTTGTCCATACTCATCTATTACACCAGTCAATGCATCACGAAACTCAATCATACCTGAAATATGTATTATAAAATATAATTACCCTGTGAAGCATAATGCCGAGTCTCTCGTCAATCAGTATTTACTAAAACACAATTCTACAATATTATTCTTCCCAGTTTAATCAGCTCTCTGCATTACAGTAACATGCGACAGACTGTTGCTGTTGGAGCCATCATAGAAACTACACTACGAAAAAAACCGGGAATGTAAAAAAATCAGGCAGTGGCAAAGGCCAATAAAAATCTGAAAAGAATTGACTGGAAGCATCAGCATTCATTAACAGTCTAAACCAGCGTTCCTTAAAATTTTTTTTGCCCTGGAACACCTCCGCTTTTTATCTCGCTGCACGAAGCCCAAAAAATTAGAAGGTGAAATTGATGGGTAGTTCAAAAATAGTAGCCTATGGTAAAAATAAAAAGTTTGCTGTAAACCTTACAATTAAATAATTAGGCCGACGATTAACGATATTGAAGGGGTTTATCGAAAATGTTATACTTTCCAGACTGGCACGAGGCCTATCCGTCTGTTTGTCGTCAGTTGGGAGACAAATTTACGACCCAGAGTCGCCGAAGTGTGGTCGAGATCGCCATGGAGACTGATTTGTCGCAATTTCGATCCCTGTTCTGCAGAACACTCCGACGAAGCTTGCGGAACAGCAGTATTCCGCGGAACACAGTTTGAGGGAAGCTTGTCTAAACAGTGGTCGTCTCAACTTCGCTCAGAAATAAATCTCTATTACTTCTGAGTGAGTGTATGTTACAATGCTTTGTGAAAATTTCCATAGAATAAGGGTTCTGCTGTGTTGTGGGATGGAGATGGAAATACTTATCATAAAAAGTAAAGGACACTACCAGTTTTTTCAATGGTATTTACAATTTTGCTAGTCTATTTCGATATAGTCCATGATAAATCATGATACATAATATCACTTGGTAAAATTTTAGTCAAATTATGGTTTAAGTTTTACAAAAAAAAAGGACTTTCAGTTAAGCGAATTCTGAAATTTTTTTTTTTATATTAATGGATGATTTATAACAGCATATATAATACCATTATATATTCTAATATCATATAGGGAATATGGTCGTACAAAAAGTTGCAAAATTTTGAATTTAGAATCAAAAGATTGCACCATTCTTTTGTCTATAATATAGGTATTGATTACTACTGAGGGATTGTTTACGTACGTCAAGTGCCGGTTGCCGGCACACTATAAGTACTCTCAATATATAACGACAACGCGTCATGTAAATATAGTATGGTTTGTATCACTGTGACTACTCAAAAAGTTCAAACTCAAGAATAAAACAAATAAGTTTATTCGTGATGTTGTTACAATACAAGATGACCACATTTGGTTACAGATTTTCCTGGCGACTGACTTTTTGAACCAACTTGTGGTCTGTGGTTGGGAGAATCAGTAAACCCCCACATTCAGTCTGGGTATAATATTGTGTACGTACATCAACCACACACTGCATTTGATAATATGCTTGTCACAATGTAATTCATATTAATTGGAAAATACTTTTTATGCAATAATTGAGACACAAACCAATTTTCGGACCAACTCTGATCAACTAAACAATTTTTCAATCAAACAGATAACCTTTAATTATCAAAATAATTTATTTTTAGTTGTTTCTACACAAAACTGGCCATTTTTGATAAATTTTGCTTAATCATAGGCTATATATGATGATGAACCCCGGTCTCATGCCCGGTTACCAGTTCATGTCGGGTATTGAAAAAGCCAATTATTTGTTTCAGATGCATGGACTTGATAAAAGAGAAGTACTTAGAAGCAATATTATGTAACATGTTCCTAACATAAATGGTGAAAAGAACACACTGATATTTTCTTGATAATGACACATAAAAGATAAACAAATTCGATTAATCATAACTCCAACTGAAACTCATTAAATATACAAAATTTTCTGACCGCCGCAATTCCACATATGCAAATTTCACTACATATTTTTATGATAAGAAATAGTCTGATCAGTCAAAAGTTAAACGAAACCAAAAAATGTTGGTTTGTGAAATTGAATAAGTCAATTCGAAAGAAATCCTTTAAATATATATAATCTTACTTGCTAACAGGTGACGCGTAATGAGAAATACGTCTGGATATCGGCCACATACAAACCTTACGAATAAAGTCTCTAAGGACCAAACGTAATTTATATGGTGATAAATATATCACCGCATGAAAGTAATGGCTAGCATGTCTCAAAGCGATTGTTGGTCAATGGATTGTGAGGCCTCTATTAATATCATCAATGAATAGGTTCTACTAGATTTCATTTTGATTTTTACACATGAAACTTACTAGTTAGTAGTTTATTAATGAAAAGAATTTTTTTTTTTTTTTTTTCAATATACACATACATGGCCAACTCTGTGTAGTGATGATAATCAATATTTTTTGAAAAATAATCGATAAAACAATATAGTTGTCAAAACTGCCAGAGTTACAGAACAATAAAAGATGAGTAATGATATTGTTTAAATTTAGATTTTCAAAAATAGCCAGTAAATAATTTTGAAATTGTATACTGGTAATCAAAATAGATAAATTTTTCTGTAAAAACATGATATTCTTATTTAATGAAAATTAAAACAAGTTTAAAATTACTGATTTAATAGTAACACAACAAAATCCAAATAACCCAATTATCTCAATTGTTGAAAATGACATTTTTGAATATCTGTCAGTTGAAATTTTATTCAACACAAAGAAGAAAATACGTATTTCCAAATTGTATAAGAATATTCAATAATTCTTATTGTGACATATTACAACACAAATTATGTTAAATGCATACAATGTGTCAAATTATTATTCTTGCTTGAAAAATAAGGAATTCTTGAAAAAAAAAGCCGTTTGAAAATATGAACTTCTGTAATGTTGGTCTATTTATACATCATATGGAAGCAATATACAGAGTATTCATAGTACAGACATTCCATTGTATTCTGATCCATGAATACTTCAGTATTGCCCAATTTAATAAAAAGGTGTGGGCAGCCATATATCGTAATCATTAATAACGGGTCATTGCTAGTCGAATCAAATATCACAAACCATACCCAAAGTTTTTTTCGAACTCATGAATGGTCATTGAATTTGAATGGGTTTTACATGTTTAACAATGCATGGCATAGTCTTTTAAAAAACTTAAACCTACAGACCTTGAGCTGGCAAAGCAATCTGCGGAGGTGGTTGATGCTGTCCAGGACCCATCATTCCAAATGCCTGTTGTTGCCTGAAATATATAAATAAAAATAAAAAACATATCATTGAAAAATATAATCAATATATTTGAATATAATATAGTATTTTTACATGAGGGACTTTGATAGCATATTTATTGTTTGTTTTTGTTATTATCTGGAAGCAAATTTTATTTGGTTAACATTTATCATATGTTGAAATGTAAAACCCAATTAATAGGAGGCAAATTTGAGTGGGTGTGATATCCATGTCATGATATCATCACTAAAACTTGACAACCGTAATAACAAGAAAAAATTATATACAGATTACTGTAAAAGGCCGAAATAATAGTGAAAGAAGAAAAATGAAGTAGCAAACCACATGAAATTTCAGTAAAAACATGTTCACGATAGAGTACAACAAATAGGGGCAAAACCACCTAATGTATATCGTAAGTTTTTTATCCAAATTATTGCAGTGCAAAGCAAACACCTGGGCCTAATTTTTGTGAAGTTTTATATCGTCAAATAGACTTATCTCAAATGTTATCATTTTTAAACAAGAACATCTTTTGACTCTTATTTGCTCAACTCATATAGGAACCATTTTTGTCTATTATAGATACTAGAATAAAACACTCAGATCATGATTAATGAAAGTTTTATATCGTGAGTCAAACAGTTGTCTTTAATAAGATATACAACGACAACTTACCGCACTCTAAGGTAACGTCCCCTTTTATTCTCTTTCAGATCCAGAAAGTACCTCTTGTTTTCACGAATGATTCGCTCAGTTTTCAAGGGTTTATTTATATCTTCCTGTAAATTTAAACAAAAATGTTGGATAAAGTATAGAGCTAATTAAGTACTTTCGTGTTGATCATTGTAGGGTGATGAATTCGAAGAAAATTTACAACTGACACAGATCCTAAATAACCCTGCTATTTAAAAATAATCCAACAAATAAAATGAAAACTATGTTGAAAATGAGAGTTAAGAGATACACATAATTGCTATCTGCTGCGATGATTACAGAACTGTATTACAATCCCATTTGCAAAATTGTTAGGAAATCATTATTGTGATGCATCGTTATGAAGACCAGCTTAATGCAGATAGATTAAATTGTTACCTGCTGCAGATGGTCTGGATCAGTAGGTCCAAGTTGAGCATAATGCTCAATAAAATCTCCAAGAAGATTTCTGAACTCTGTTGCTATCGGCATTGACAAAGTTAATCTGTTTTTGTTTCCACCAGGAGTCACCTAAAAATATTCTTATAAATTGCAATGCTATTTCCAAACAAGACAGCAATGCACAAATATAAAGACACGGAAATCAAATGACTATTATGGTCACTGCAATGTTAACGAAATTCCAGCAAAATGTTGAAAGAATTTTCCCCGAACGTGTGCCTTGTGAAAAAAGTCAGCAAAATTAGGTTGAAATATTATGACCTGTTGTACTTGGGAAAATTTGGAATAAAAAATTACATAAATAAAAGTAAAAGACTCTGAACGATTTTTTTTTATCTTTGAAAACAGAAAATTTGAATTTGGTTGGTCTATTAGTTTGAAGAAAATCAATTTATCAGTAACAACCATCCAACATTAAAACAACAATTTAAGAAAATAATCTATGTGTTGACGTCATCAGTGATAAGGCATGTACAAAATACGACTTGAACTGGAATAGACTGATCTGGCAGGTAGGATATATAGTGTAATATTACGCTATCAATCTCAAGGAGCACACCATTTTAATTGGGCTTGTGGAGATCTGGTCTAGTTCATAGGTGAATAGTTGCTAAAAAAATTTATTCCAATTTTTTTCTATATATTCTGTAACTGAATCATTATGAACTGGTACTCCCTTAGTGTGTTTACCAGGTTAGGGTTAAGCCATACCTTCATTCCGATTTTCCTTATTTTAGTTCTATTACAAGTTCGAGACTGTCTGTATTAGCCAAGTGAATATACCCTCTACCCATAAGTTTCAGTCCATTTACACAACAAATTCAAGAAAGTAGAGTAAATTGGAATATTAAAAACATTTCCCCCTCAATTAATTTGAAAATTCGATTATCTAAATGCATTTGAATTCACACTGATACTTGTGACAGTTATAGATATTATGACAATGTGAAACTTTGTATATCTAATTCTCAAAACATTGCTTTGAAACAGTGGTTCTTGCCGCCATATATTAGCCAACTAAAAAATGCTAATTGTTGCAATAATTCAAAGCTTCTCACGTACCACTTGAAAAGCTTCTATACCACATGTTGAGAACTACTGGTTTAGAATATCAATAGTCATGAATCTACCTCAGCAATTTTGATGAAACGACCTCTGTTGTTTTTCTTCACATCCAGATAGAAACGCTTGTTCTGTATCAAAACCATTTTGGATGCGAGCTCCTCTGTGTCCATCTGCTGACGATGACCATATCCTCCTAATATGAAAACCAATTTTATGAAACGATCAGTGGTTGTCATTAAACTTCTTATGCTTGTTAATAAACAACTGATTATGTAAAATAACAAGTACAAAACAAACCGAGTACATTCCAAATAGGTTATATTTGGGGTAGTAATATTAGATTTGAAAATATTTTCATTCCAATATGTAATATTCCAAATAAGTTATAACTGATGTAGTAGGCTAATTAGACACCTAAATTTGCATTTATAACACGCATAAATTTGAAAAGCATTTTTATCTTTGATTGAATATAAGCAGAATTATATTTTAAAAATGTCTCTCTTTTCACCCGTAATATTTTAAAAACTACTTACTTTGCTGCATACCACGTCCATCTTCTTCTCCACTATCCCGTTCAGCCATATTTGTTATTCGCTATCTCACCTACCGTACTAGACCCCTCTAAACCATACACCTAAATCATAAATGGATATAAACAAAATCATGTTTAGAACTGTTTCATCAAATTGCAAATTCCTAAGTTGGAATATACGATGTCTCTACATATGTTAATACTAGTGAGAAACTAAGCTAATTGACTACTTGAATATACCCATTTAAAAAATTTTAATACTCAATATCATAAATTCGACAAATAAAAAAAAATTCAAATTACTCTCATTTGAAAAATCGAAGTTATATGGTTTGAGATCATGTGGTCAAACTTAAACACATTTTACTCAATTCTTAATTCAAGAAAAAATGGTACCGCAGTCTTCATGACTTCACCTGACCACCAGAACTAACGCGAACGTGGAATCGCCACAAATTGCGCAATTTTCAATTTTGAAACGTAAACCGACTCTCATAAAGACCACAGAAATTTTTTAAATAAATAAATATAATAGCCTACTAGAAAAAAAATACAATCTCTGAAAGCAATGGGTCCAGTAGTTAATGAGAAAAGTTATTTTTTCATGACAAGAAAAATTACTAACCAAGAAATGAACATGAACAACATAATAACAAAACGACCCATACACATATCCGTACACTTCATGTCCGATAATTACCATTTTTGTCCTGGCATTTTTCTGCACAATCTAATTCAATCTCTATTACTGCGTATAGATAGGCATTTCAAAATTTCATTGACAAAAAATTTAGAATATTTTAAAACATTCAAGATTCTCCCGGATTTTGGAATGTATTTGGAATGATATATTAACATATTAGCTTTGGGCTATCCCTGGTTTTATACATCATTATATTCTAACAGAGCCTATTGACTGCACCGCCATTAATAATAGTCAGCATCATAAGCTGTTCGTTCATTCTAGCAGCATTCTGTACCGGCTTTACTGGTCAATAAATATTTGCATAATACATTGTTAGCAAATATGCAGAAAAAGTTTTATTGTTGTTTATGGGCACATACCAACATACATAAAGATGTCATGTTCATTCGAGTATGTATTGTCGTTCTAGATAGATAAAAAAGGGCGAAGCTTAAGGTGAAATTTACCAATAGCTAGAGAATGCTATTAAAAATTCCTTCATTTTATTGATGCTATAAAAGTTTTATGGCGACCAAATGAAGAATTGAAAAAATATATAGCAACAAAAATTTGTAAATCATGTGGATAAGAAAAATTGAATCATTTAATAATATTAATATAATTCAAAAGTTTTAGAATCTTGGTGTATAACATATAATACAAGACATTGGTATCATCAATAATTTTCATATATAAACATAAATCAGTAAAAGTATTTGAATAACATAAGTGCATTGAAACATTTATAATATTCAACCATTTGAAAATGGCTATGTCTAAACTACCGTAATAATAATGTTGTAAGCAACTATCAAGCAACCACTTCATGGCAGCTCCTGCCACAAGTTTATCATACAGAATTATATCTGCTTAAACCTAAACCCAACCCCAAATACATCAAAACTGTATTCATAAGAAAAGCGTTTCAACTTACCCAATATTTATCACCACCGGGGGCAGCCCTGCTATTACAGCCGTCATGCCATGGTTACGGCAGCAAAATTGGTGATATTAGATTTGCTGCCATAAGCACGGCAGCTCGCTATTGATCTGTGGCAGCTAAAAAGTCGGTCGCCGTGGGTTTGGTCATATCGGCCATGGTTTGGAAATTCCGCCATGGTTTTGCGGCGGCTCTAGATGCCACAAAATACTTGAAACTGCACTTGTATTACCGGTATATCTACAAAGTCATGCACAATATTTTAGTTTATCATGCGGACGCAATAAAATACTTGAAACTGCACTTGCATGATTGGGCTATTTAAAATATTTTCACTACAGTAACCAATGATACTGAAAACAAGGCCAATGAGTACATTATCGGCAAAAACCATTTTTATATATGGATTCCATCACTGCTGTATTTATTTCTCCAGTTTATTTATGCATATTAGATTTAGAAATAGACTGCTCAATGTTAAATAAAAAAACAGCAGAGGCAGATTTCATGCTCCTGTTAAGTTGCACAATTACTGATAGAACAACTGAACAAAACTAATTCAATGCAAATAAATACTGCAAACAAGATAGATTTTGGCATGAAAATAACCCAATTTCAACCAAATCATAAATTAAACTTCAGATGAGACCTACCATATTTTAGAAAAACTCAAATGTTTGGATTGAATATCAAAAAAAGTATTTGAAATATTATTACTTATATTATACCATCATCTTTCAAATTTAACCAATTCATAAAATAATTTTACTTCACATTTTCGCAACCAGGAAAAATTAAAGTTTATCGGTTGTTCGATCACAAAGAAGATACGAGCCAACTTCTTTAAACAACTAAATTCTTCATATGTCTAAGAATATTCCTAGCAGAGCAAAGGACCCAGCGAAATCAAATATTAGTCAGACAATTACCGGTACCACTGAATAACAAAACGAGATACCATTCAGAGCATATATGACAGTATGAATAAAGCATAATATGATGATACCAATGAGTAAATTTTTGAGCAATTCCAGTGATAAATAAAATATGTAGCAATATAGACTATTCTCAGTTGCTTATTTACCATAAATTCATTTGCAACAGTTCGAATCAAATACAACACACAGAAACCGGAGTTTTACAAAAAAATAAAAACAAGGCAATTTGATTTAGTGCATTTCCCGTAGTTCCGTTTCCCGCATTTAAGGGTTACGGTACCGGTACCCTTGCTTTATTATGCTGATATGATCCCTATCGATGCATAAACCAGATTTATCTGTTGGTTTTATTTGCTACTATTTTCTTGCGAAACATTTTATTCTTTTTACCCATGATACACGCGCCACGTTTAAAATAATTAGAGGAGGAACAAGTTTATTAAAAATGGCCAAATCAATGAAACAGCGAACCCGCAAACCGATCCTTACACTTCCCGAACTGGGATGAACTTATTGACCACACTTTAGGTGTCACCAGAGACTCCCAAATTCCTCGCTGGTTGTTTTCACTGAGGTAATGGTTGTTTTGCGCAACAGACGATCGAAAAAATATTTTTTTTTATGACAAAGATAAAGAAACCCGATTTTAAAATTGTGCGACTCCCCCCCAGTGATCCAGATTAGTCCCGTCATAATTGACAAACTAGAATTCCAGACACCCGGATTCAGTTGTGGAAGGAATCTGAAGTCCCACAGCTGGCACCAAACTTTCATTTATCCAACTACGCCACTACGGTACCGTGCAGATAAGGAAAAATACACACCAAGAATTTATAATTCCTATGAACCCCCAAAATGACTCAGTCTCATTGTAAATGTTGTTATGCAATGGTTCTAGTTTCATGATTCACCAACATTTGGGCTAAGACGCTGGCTGAAAGAAATCTCAACTCACATTCCAGCTCCTAACTCCGGGAATACCGAATGTTGACGACAAAAACTTTGGCATGAAAGCCTACTTTAATTATCTGTCGATTATCCGTTATTAGGAGTATGGAATTTAAACCTCAACTCCACCTTCGTCATCCATAAAACATGCTGAAGTCTCTGCAGCCCTGCCTGCTAGGCAGGGGTGTCAAACATGCGGCCCGCGGGCCGCATGCGGCCTCAGAGCACTTCCGATGCGGCCCTCGAAAGCTTAACAATATTTGTAAAATTTTGCGAATTATTTTTTATCTAAAGGTAATACATTTTTCAAACCTTTTAAAGTGAAATCGATTATTCACACAGAAAACCACAATTTGCTGAAAGTAGTTTTGGAAAATATAATTTTTTTTGTTTGCAATTGGACCCAATTGGATACACCTCAAGCTAGCAAAAGATAACTTAAAAAAACACTTCATGCATTAAATAAAACGCAAACTACATGAAGAAGGTGGCATTTCTGAGGAAAAATGGGAGTTGCAATATTTCTACATTTCTCAAAATTCTAAAGCACATTGTTTAATTTGTCACTCCTCGCCGTCGTTGAGTGGTTCACGTAACCGCTGGTCGGTTACGGCTTCCTCCACCACCAAGTCCATGCTTCCGAAAAACAAACAATATAACTAATCCCATACCCGACTTGGAATGGTAACCGGACGAGAGGACGTGGTTCGCCATATGGATAATCCTATCCTATGTGGCGGGACTGGAATTGTCCTATTTTTTATTGTTTTGTATTTTATTTATATTTAGTGTCTAGTTATTGCATATGCATTAGTGTGTGGAGTCTGAGCCCTAATTCGCCCGATAGTTTGATCCAGTAACTCGACTCCAACCACCACTGCATATGTGAACTGTGCTGCGTACGCAGTGTTCGTTCTTCTTGCTTCTGCTGTCGCTGGGTAAGGACCGTATTTTTGTCACTCTATTTTATCTGCTTTAAGCGTGGATTTTACATTATTTTAATAAAGTCTCTTCGTTTGCATCGTGAACTTCGAACCTACTTGTGTGTCTTTGCAGCACATTGGATCTTCTGAACTAATTATTACAGTATTACTAGACTGTATTAGTGGCGAGCACCTACCGGTATTCCGGTTAAGTCGTACCGTTGCAAATTGACGAGCTAGCGCCAGGATTGAAAAATCAGACGATTTTTTGATTAAAAGTTCATGATGTCACACCGAAGAAAGAATTGCGACCAAGAACGAGATGTAATATGGAATAAAATTTCCCAGATGGAAACCGAAAACAAAGAAATTAAAGATAAGAATAAAGTACTAGAAGCTGAAAATAAAGAACTGGCTAGACAACTGCAAATAGTCTATGCTAGTGTTGCAAAACTTGAAGAAAGAGATGTTGGCATGAAGGAAGTACTCGAACGGGTGTTGTGCCGTCTGGAGAGCATTGACGAGGCCATGGCTGAGGGTGAGGTGCCATCATTTATTCCTAAACCTATTCTGAAAACCCCTGAGGTGCCCAAGAGTGTTGATAGGAATGGTGAACCAGACTGCCCTGATAATGAATGTTTGATGAATGGTACCGGTACTATTAAAAAATTGAATTTTGCTGATGAGTGTGTGGTTGACCAGTCTACAC